ATTTGACAAAACGTAATATGTCCGTTGTCATACCCGGCCAAAAGTAATGACAGGAAATACGTTGAGTCGTGGCATTTATTCCCATATGGGCACTATACGCGATCGTGTGACCCATTTGGAGAATTTGTTGCCGATATGGTCGTGGCACGACCAGCTGACTATGCTCAGTATATTGGTCACTCCCAACGCGAAAAAGCAACTTACCTTTCATAAAGTAATCATTTCTTCTCGGGCGGAGTGTGACAGACAGGTAATTTTTTGAAACAAGCTCTAAGGGTAGGGTCAGTCTCTTGGGCTACCTTGATCTCGTCAGGTAAGGGATTTACGTGACTTTGATCTTCCGTGGCACATTTATGTTGCGCACGGGTGGTCATCGCCGCAAGCTGTTCTGAAGGTGTAGGGGCATTCGCTAAATAGACATAACGAGCTCCTAAAATAAGAGGGAACGTACTCCGTTTCAAAACGGCCGCCTCAATCTCTCCAGTAACGTATCTAGACTTGACCTCTATCTTAGCTACGGGCAAGTTCATGGGTCGAGCATCAAGAGTTGCACATCTGAGCTCTATAAATTCACCTGTATACTGATCAGCTCTAACGATTTCAGGGGAACAGACCGCGGAATAGGACAACCCCGAATCATATAAACAAGAAATTCTCTTTTTATTAGCCCAGACCTTCTCTACCACAGGTGGCCTATTGGAACGGTTATATAACTTCTCTGCGGCAGACGAACCCACAGTCGTCAACATAGCTGACAATTGAGTCCCCCCTGCTGACTTCACCTTACAATCATTAGTGTAGTGGGAATTATTATTGCAATTCCTACAGTAGGGTTTTCTAGAACTATTGTACAACTGTTTCTGTTGCGAACTGCCAAATTTAGAAGGATTCGGGTGTTTTACATGGGATGGGCTCTTTTTAGGGGAACCTGGAGTTGGAGTTTTCTGACCTTTCTGACTATTCCTATCATGATTATTATGTGGCTTGGCTTTCCCCGAACTATCATCCTTATGGGCTAACTCGTACCGTTCGGCATGAACCAAAATGTCAGTCAATTTTTCTGCACCGTTCTCGGTGAGAAAAGTTTGCATTGACTTCGGTAGAGTGTCCTTTAATTGTTCGGTTAGGAACAATTCTTGCAGATCTTCGAAGGAAGCTTCATAGCCAGCCATTTCACGCCACTTACTCATATAACTTTTTAATCTATCTGCAAACTGCGGATAAGTTTCCCCAATCATTTTCCTTTCATTTCTAAACTTATGCCTGTAACTCGCAGCATTTAACTCGAACCTTTTCAATAAAGCCTGGCACAGGGCTTCGAAGTCAGTATCGGAGCCAGTGGGCATCCGCTGAAAAATTTTCATATGCCTCTCCTCTCAATCCCTGTGCCAGTTTTAATGTATATCTATCTTTCTCAAGATTATAGATAGTTGCAAGTTTAACAAATTTATCGATATACTGCTCAATCGTTTCCAGCTTCGCATCAAAGGCAGGCATAGGAAAATTCATGGCAGGTGTCGAGATGCAGTGAGTAGACACAGTCTCCATTTCTGAAGACTGAGATCTAGAAATCTGGCTATCTCTTTGTGCCTGAATTTCCAGCTCCTTCATCTTTACTTCCTGATCTAACTTTAATCTTTCTTTTTCTTTCTCGGCTTCAATTTTGAGTCTTTCGGATTCCATAAGTCTCTCGGATTCAATCCTGAGTCTCTCAGTTTCCTGGAGTCTCTCGGATTCGATCCTGAGCCTCTCGGACTCACGAGCCTCCATTCTCATCTCTCTTTCTGTGGTTTTAATCCAATCGGTCAACTCCCTTCCTTCCAGTCCCATCTGGACAGCCATTTCTTTCAGCTCTTGAATCGAAATTCTGGACTGCGCCATGTTGAGCTGTAAAGATAGTTAAAAGAAGATCCAACAAATATGCAACAATTTACGACAATTGTAAATGTTAGACACAAAACGCCAGTGGTGATGCAACCAAAACCACTATACACAAACCAGAAGAACAATTGTCACTACTTCAGAAAGACAATCTTCCTATCACTAGGACCAATATACTCCTATTATGTGAAAACAGGAAGAACCGCTTGTCAAAGACTACTGAAAGAACCTCTTATTTCTTCCCAGGAAGATTATAAGGAATATATTCAAAGTAGTCACCAATACTACCAGACAGCTTATCAATATGACAACCTGCTGGTCAAGTATCCAGCACAACTACTGAACACTCTAATTCACTGTTGACAAATTACAATTACAAAGAACGACGATCCCGGACATGAGACCACATTTTACGATAGTGACTGTCGTATGGCAGTTTTGTCGCGCACCTTACTTACAGGATATTTTCACAAATCCCTCAGGTGCTCTGAGACAGGAGTGTTTTGAATGGTGGCTCTCGTTCGTCTAGAGGCCTAACCCTCGGTTCAAACTTTCCATTCAACCTGTCTCAGGGATGAGGTGACACGAGCTCTGACTCCACAGGGTTATTATGAACACTTGGGTACCTCTCGGCCAGACGTCCTCACCACTGTTTGCCCCCAGACTGGATTAATGTAAATACAGTCGAACAAATAATCAACAGTGAATACGATAAGACAAGACTACGTTTATAAATGTCACAAGGAACTCCAATTAGACAAAACTCTCCTAAGAACCAGAAGGCAGATGAACTCGAGAATCAATGTAATAGGTTCCCTGTAACCAAGCTGAAGAAAAATAACTTGAAGAATTAACTGAAAGAATATTGAATACTTTCAAAGACAAAGTTAGTGCGATTGTCTTCCTCCTACTCTACGTTTCTGTCCAGTATCATCATGTCTGAGGAATCTGATGGATTGGAAAGGTCCACTTAGATTTAATTCGTCATACGGGTCACTCTGACTTATCTGTTTAGATCTTATATCTCCTCTGGATGCTGGAGCGAAGTTTCCGACTACCGTACTTTACGATAGGACTTCTCAGAAACGAGGCTGCTTCTCTGGATGCCGGAATAGATCTTCACGTCACCAGACTTCCCAACATTATTTCACCAGCAGGAACAGTTTCTGGCGTTGATCGAGAACAATCACCTTGAGCTCGGAAGACGACGACTCAAGTATCGTCCACACGTTCAGGACCACAATTCACCACATGTAAATTGCTTAATGTGTAGTGGCAGAAGGAACCAGTCTACAAGACACGGACACTTGTTGGATCTTCATAACCCAGTGTAAATAAAAAAGAGAACAAGGAATCTTGTCTGTATAACGGTCAATTGGCGAGACACAAGGAAAAACGCCTGCCTCCAAGACCGGACTGTAGAGAGTGACGCACACAAACACGTCCCCTAACAACAGCAGTTAGCGTACGAATCGCGCTCACTAATGCAGTGCAGTGGTCAGACAATTTATTTAGAATAGGCGTAGAAAAGGCGTCCTAACATTTAATTAGACACTCAAAGCCTAAAAGAGTTATTATCAAAGGGTTTTATATGGATTTTTCCTATCAGGACTCCCCCACAACAAACGAACTATCTAACTATGCTTGGCCTATTCTAATACATAGTTACGATGACGAGTTTGGGGTGGTCAGCTATATGGACCTTCCTGCTGTGGCAGATGTGTGGATGCCGTCATGCGACAATGACGATGGAGGTGATGGCAGTGACGCAAGCGTTTGCCTGGCTTGAAACACAAAAATACACCCGCATATGTATACTCAGTGATTCAATGAGTATGATCCGGAGGGTTTAGGCAGGTTCAGTGCGAAGACAATGGCTTGAATCATTACAGAAGTCCACTGTGTGTGGAGTCACCTTTATTTTTGTTCCGGGACACGCAGGCGTCGATGGAAATGAAAGAGCTGACAGGTTGGCTGGATCCGCTATCACTACCGACGGTCGGCCTATGGATCATGCTGATATTATCAATGCCCTCAGAGAAATGGGAAGGATAGAGGACTTTGGTGGCAGTGAATCCACATCACTCGCCAGAATGGCAGACTTGGGAATTAAGATCGGCACAGCAAAAAACGAGACGCACACCGGACACGTCAGAAGACTTGTTAATCAACATAGAACTGGTACTATTAGCCATCGGACGTTGGGGTTCATACTGAGGGGAGGATCTGAGCACCTATGGACATGTCCGGAGTGCAATGACGATAACCCAACTAACTAACTAACTAAGCTCAAGATATTATGGTCACCCTAACTTAAGACTGAAATATCTATATATCAGTATCCTCTTCATGTCACCGTTGACAAAGATGATCTCCATTGCCGTTGTTTTGCTGCTTTTCTGCTTATGGTATCCCATGTCATTTTGCATTCCTTAATTTCTCGTTATACTTGTATTGTCTTTCTCCAGGTTTTCTTAGGTCATCCATATCTCCTTTTTTCATCTGCCATTCATTGGAGAAGTGTCCTTGCCAAAGTTTCATGAGGCATTCTGCATACATGTCCAAGCCACCTCCATCTTCTTCCATTGATAATATTTGCCAGTGATGAACATTTTGTTTTCTTCCTCAGTTTTTCATTTGTGCTAGGACTGAAACCAGTCATAACATTCATTAAAAAGCAACAGATGAGATGGTTTGGCCATCTGATGAGCATGCAGTGATACTAACTGCCACAGAGGGCCACCCTGAAGAAATCTAATGAACACAGGGCAAGGGGAAAAGGGGGGGGGAAGCCACACAAAAGATTAGGTAATGACGTCAAGAGTACATTTAAAGATATGAAGATCAACTTTCACTATGCTCTACACTGGGTGCACAGAATATCCTTGCATCCCACCCCTCCCAATTCTTCAAAGAGTAACTGGAGAAAAAGAAGAAGAAGAGGAAGAAGAAGAAGAAAAGGAATAATAATAATAAAATAATAATAATAATAAGAAGAAGAAGAAGTATCAGTAAGGAATCTACATTATTTGTCACAAGTTTCGACAATGCATGTTTTTCTTGAACTATTGAAAGTCTGTGTTAACGAGTTTGCACTTTCATGTTTTGTTTCCTCTCAGCTTCTCAGCACAGGCACAATCCTGTATGCTGGTCAGCCTATTGGAATTGTGGTTGCAGGTAAATGAGTTAGCACAACTTTTGATAATAGATAGCGGACAACTGTTGATAAAAAGTGAAACAACTTGTTTGAGAAAAAAATGCATGAGAACAAGAGTACAAAATGTGCAAAATGAAAATGATGCTTGTAAGGTTAATTTTCTCAGTGTTGGTAAATTTTCTCATTACTTAGAAATGAGGACAGCTATTAAACATAAATTATGTGTGAGAGTCCGAATGGATGGCATCGATTACTAGTTATAATGCATGCGTTAACAAATCAAGTACATCATACCAACTTGAGGCAAACGTGCAGTTTTGCTGAAACGAACCAAGTGAAGAAAACATGAAATCGTGAGTATAGCTTTTGAACTACATGAGAAGAAGAGGTTATTTAAGCTTTGAGCGAATGAGAAAGCTAAGTCTTGTTTTCGATCCAGTGAGAGCCTGGTCTTGTGGTGCTTGGAATGCCTGAATTGAATGTTTTTTCCTGAAATCAAGTGAATATAATCAAGCTACCAAGAAAACCTGGCATTCTCTCTAAGTCTGCAAACAATTTTATTAGGGTTTAAGTATGGTGGATATATGTCCCCCCTTACTGCCCTGCCCCCTGCCCCCTGCTAACTATTGTTTAAATATATTTTGGGAAGGGAGGGTGGTCACATCTTCTATTATTATGTTATCACTTTTCTCCACATGGCTATGTCAACAAAAACATATTTATCATGGTTGGAATGAAGTAAAGCAGTTAATTTTATGCTTCTTTTGGATTTAAAAATTACTTTAATATATTTTAATAAATTATTTCACGCATAAAAATACAAAATTAATGTAATTATTTTTATGATTTGATAGCCACAATGTTACAGTGGCCTATCTGCTTGACAATCATAGTTTTCAACACCCTTGATTTGTATAAACTGACAAAAGTTCTAAATTTCTGCAGCTTTTTCCCCTTCTTTTCCCTTTAGTTTCTAAGAGAAGAATTTCAGAGAATTATAGGGAGTAATTTCTTTTAAACAATGTTTTGTACGAGATAATTTTTTGAGATTCTAACAGCATGAAAGAGTTAAAGATGAACAAAACAGAAAAAGAAGGCATTTACTGTGGTAGACAGAGTATCTTCGGGAACACTATGCCAAATCTCTTTGTTATTTCTCATTGACATTCACCATCTGTTAGTCAAATAATTAGGCAGCAGTATAATTGTCTGTGAGAACTGCTGTCACATAGTGTCTAGACACTTGCCAGGGGCCTGAAGGTCTAGAATTAAAATCTGCATCAAGGCAGAATGTTTTCAAAAACTGACCTTGCTTCCCAGGTTTACCCACCTTAAATGGGTGTCAGATAATGAACTGGGATGAGCATGATGTTGACCACATCATCCGCTAGTGCATATTTATTGATACAAATATGATTCTAGCCATATGTGCCCAATTCGCTATTGTTTTAGAAAGGGGCCCTTTTATATACATACTTTTTCAAGTGTTTGTGTTGCTGCCCAGATTTGCAAACTACAGCAGATACGGCTGCTGCTCTGGTCAAGGTCACCTACAAGAATGTTCAGATTCCAATTGTTGACATCCAGACCGCCATTAAACAGAAATCCTTCTTTCCTAACCCTCCACCACCTGTTGTCAGTGGAAATGCTGCAGGTGAGTTGCTGGCTCTTTTGATTTTAAGTGGTTTATTTTGTTGTTGTTATTATGTAGCACATAAACCAGGACAATGAACAAGCAGTTTGAATGTTATACTGGGGCTGTGGATATGCAGATATCCATAAGAACAGGTTCAGAGAAACAAAAATAAAATGTAGAGTTTTTGGAGAGATTGGGCATGAAACGATGTTTGCTAAAAGACATAAAAAGGAGATTAGTAGAATGGCTTGGTTACATTAAAAGACGTATAAGGTGATGCTTCAAATGACCACCCTAAGGGTCCTGCAACCACAGTTCTAATAGGCTGGCCAACATACAAGATAGTGCCTGTGCTGAGAAGCTGAGAGGAAACAAAACATAACAGTGAGAACTCACTAACATAGATAGAAAAGATGCCTGATGTTAAATGAGCTAAACTATATATTGTTTGTTTGTTCAGTCATTTCACAGTCCCGTTTTATCACAGCAGTTTGGCCATTCTGTTTTTTTTTAAATTTTATTTGAGAAGGAAAGGCTTTAAAGAAGGGAACTGGAAACCTCAGTTCATTTATGAAAGCTTAACATTTCACATGCCAACTGCAGTGCCTGCTATGGGAGTACCTTTACTGAGGACAGAAGAGAATGAATAAATAACCTAATAAAATAAATTAAATAATAATATAAATTACACAATAAATTAAATAACATAATAATAGAAATAACATAGTAATATAAATAACATAATAATATAAATAACATAATAATATAAATAACATAATAATATAAATAACATAATAATATAAATAACATAATAATAACAAATAATACAAATAACAATAATAATAAAAAAACATAATAATATAAATAACATATAAAACAAATAACATAATACTAATTAACTAAAATTATAACATAGTAATATAAACAATGTAATAAAAAAAATAACTTAATTATAAAAAACATGATAAAATAAATAACCTAACAAAATAAAAAAACATAATTAAATAAATAACATAATAAAATTAAAAAACATTATAATATTTAAAAAAACATAATAAAGTAAATAACGTAGTAAACAAAAATACCTAATTTAAATTTAAAAAAAAACCATATTCAAATAAATAATGTAGTATAATAAAAAATCTTCTTCTTCAGCAATCCAAGCCCATGAGGTTTATTGCTACAGATATCACCACCCCTCCATTGATCTCATTGGTTGGCCTTCTGTTTCCATTTGGTAACACCAAATGTTTGCAGGTCTTTCTGGATATTATCTCTCCATCGTCTTCTTTGTCTGCCTCGTGGTCTATTTCCATTCAGCTCCCTTGTGTACACAGTTTTTAACCTCTCTGTCATTTGACATTTTCTCAATATACCCCAGCCATATCAGTCTGTTAGCTCTCATAATGCCAGTGATCAGTGGTAATTTAAACATTATGAATTTCGTTGTTGCTTCTCACTCTCCATTCCCCACTGTTTGCATCTTTGATGGGTCCAAAGATTTGAAATAAGGATCTATTTTAGAAAATTTGAAAAAAGGCTTAATCTCTTTTAGTTGTGCTCCAAGTTTCAGAGCAATATAGAACGACTGGCCATATCAATATTTCATATATTTTGATCTTGATGTTGTGAGACAGAAACGTTAACTCTAGCAGATGTTGAAGGGCATAGTATACTTTATTTCCAATTGTATTCTAGATTGTATTTCTTCTCTCAGCATGTTTGAGTAGTTGAAGTTTGCATACAAGTACTTATATGTACTTATATAATAAATAAAATAAATTGGTATGTGATGTGACTACTGTAGGATTACTGTTTTTTTTATTAACCCCCTTTACAAAGTTTAAAATTGAAGTCTCGAAGATCAGTTTCATTGCTTTAGGTTTTATCTCATATAGTTCAGTCTCTTGGGGCAGAATGGCTAGCTGCCTGCCGAGAACATCACATAAAGCACACACTCTGTTGCTTCAGTGATGATCCCCAAAGATCTCTCTTTAAAACTGCACTCTTGATCTGAACAACATGGCGTGTCTGTGAAATGAATCCATGACCTCCAGAGCATGAAGCAAATGGCTTAACTGCTTCACCAAAGAGACTTTCCATAGAAGACTTGTTATTGTTTTTATTTTGCTTACTTATGTAGCCTAACACGTTTGTTTCAGCTGCCATAGCTGCATCACCAAAGAAAATATCTGGCAGTGTTGGGTGCGGTTCCCAGTATCAGTTTCACCTGGAGCCACAGTTGACCATTTGTACTCCCACAGATGTTGGAGGCATGAAGGTGAAAACCACCACACAGTGGATTGATGGCTCATTAGAAAGTGTGGCACAGGTTTTAGGCCTTCAGCAATCAGAGTATGTATGTCTTTTGTTTTTGTTTTAAATATTTTTTTATATCTTCTTCTCTTTCTTCATTCTTCGCATTCCCTACTGTAAACTGTGGGGGAAATATCTAGTTATTTGCCCACCTCTGGACTTTAGACTTGATCCAGAGACCCAGGAACCCTCATAGGAATTTTAAAGTTAAAAAGAAATTCATAAAAATTAGTGAACAGATGGAGACATAGACTGCAAGCCCCATGTGACAGATAATGGCACAACAAAATGAGGGTGATAATGATAAAAGTGAATGACATGTTTCCGTGCCTTGAGGCATCACATGGCACCAATCCCATATTTGTGTTGAATAGTCGGCACATGATGGATAATATAGTCAACATTACACCAGCTGCCTTTACTTTCCAGAACATTTCTCTGATACCTTTTCTTAGACTGGGTGAACCTGGAAGCTGTGACTGATTTATAAAATCCATCTTGGTGGGGATTTGAGCACATGTCCACCAGGCAAAAATGCAGTTGCACAGTGCAGCTTTTCCCCCTTCATTTTCCATAATTTCTCATAATGAGACAGAAAATTGTAGACAATCTTCTCATGTGGGTAAATAGTTCTCATTGTTAGTCACTTTCTTTCAAGATGTGTTCATTAAATTTGTTTATCTGCCCATGGTGTTCTCATATTTTATTTAGAAATCCGCATCTCAGACTCCACATAATGTTAACACTGATCGGCTGACTGTCCATGATTCACTTCCATACATCAAGACTGATTCTTTATATATATATATATATAATTAAAAATCTGCAGCAGTTTCGTTTTAGCTGTTGTCCCTAGGTTCTTGATCATTTCATTGATTATGCCATCGATTCCAGCCGACTTTCCCATTTTCACCTTTGATATTGCTAACTCTTAACTCCCTAGATGTAATTGATGCCTCTATTATTTTGGACATGGTAAACAACTTTTGAGTCTGCTTTTAACATACCCTAGTACGGTATTTAATTTACAAGCTGATAAAATGTACCATTGGATAACTAAGCGTTTCTTTTTGTTGTTGTTGTTAAACAGTATAGCATTTTAGGGTTCTATTTCTCATCTAAACTGACAGTCATAGACTACAAGAAATACGCTTCTTTTGGGGCAGAATAAAATTAATACACATAAATTAATTTCTTAATATTAGTGCAACAGTTTTTTTTTTAAAATTACATGCCAGTTTAGTTTTCTCATTAAACAAATTTGGCTTTTTTGTGTTACGGTGTCTATGTTCATAAAATATTACCATGGGGTATGGCCATCATGTCAATCCACAAGCTTCTTTAAATTATACTGCCGATAATTGTTGACATAGATGTTTCCCTATGTCATGATGCCAAACTGTCCCAACATCTCTTATATTGGTTTTTGTCTACCTCTCTTCACCTCCATCTTTGTTGTCATATTCGTAGTGTAAGTAATCAAGGTTTCATCTTCACTGCAATCAGGTCACTGCATACTTTTTTGGTTCCTGTGCTAGTGAAAATCAAATAAAATGTCCCCCTGTTCAATTTGAAAACTGGGGAACAAACTGAATTAGTCTCCAACCAATACAGAAATATGCACATGCTGTAAATGCATAAGGCAGTTGCTAGAGGTGACAAAGCCAACAGTCACCACCAGAAGTGCAATTTGTCGCTGACAGATGTAGTCAGGCAGGGTAAGATGGCCAGACAGACACTTAATTATTACATAAGGTATTTTATTAACCCACACGTAAACTGGCTACCTACCATACTGAATACCATGGCACAAATTAAAGGCATTCTACATAAACAATACAGCTCATAGTGTTGCATCAAGCACTTAAGACAGTAGCTTAGGCAGCAGAATCGTTGACTTCCATTCATATGCTGAAACTGCATTGGCAAAGCGATGTCAGGAAGAAAAAAAACTTCAAAGCCAAACCTTGCATTTCCTCTATACTGGGCCGGAAGTCGGCCTTTAGGTCAGTAGGAAGTTAAAATAGCCTACAGGTCATTGAGCTCCTTTCTTGTTGTCCCAACATTATCCAGTTTAATCCTTCTTCAGTCAGCCAGTCAATCAGTAGCATGTCCTTTACAGAACCTTGCTCCCATAACAACCCTCCAGAGAACTTCTGGATCACGAGCAAGATGTCCCACATCTGATACACTCATCAGGAGATCATCCTGCACCCATCTTCACTTTGGCCTTCCTTTTCCTCTCTTCCCAGATATATAACCCTCTATCTTATGCCCCAGAAAATGTAGATTATTGGCTGCTGATGCAGGTAACCAGGGAATACTTTGAGAAGGAATGGACTAGAGAATTTGTGATGACAAATAGTTGAGGTGGTATCATTTGTCTTATTATTTATTTTTGTATCCTGTTATATTTGAATTACCATTTCAGTGTGACAGTGGAAGTAGAAAGACTTGGAGGTGCTTTTGGGGGGAAGATAACTCAGAACTTTTTGGTATCAGGGTTATGTGCCCTTGCTGCCTATGTTGTTGGTCGGTAAGCATATACAGTTAAACATGTGATTCTGTAATCTATTTTAAGTTGTCTTTCCCACCTTGAAATTATTAGAATAGATTCACAATTTAGTTTCTGATAGGATAATGAGATTATAATTATATTTAATTAGTTCCGCCTCTTTTAAAATAGTTATATTGCTTAATAAAAAAAAAAAATTATAATTACTATTATGTTACTGAGAGACGCCCACTTGTGGATCAGAAGGTCGTGGGTTCGGTTCCTGTTGAAGGCCAGATTTTTTTCAAAAATGACTTTGGCTTCCAGGGTGACCCAGCCTTGAGCGGAAGTCATGGAAAGTAAAGGCGGCCGGCATGATGCTGACCACATCACCCACCAAGTATTGTTTGGTCTATAAAATATAGGTCCAGCCCTATATACCCAATACCCCTGAAAGGTGTGGGAAAGGGTCCTTTACTTTACTTATTATGTTACTGGCTTTTAGACTGAATTGTTAAATTAGTGGATTAGAAAGAAGAGTAGTTTAGTGTGTGAAATGGTAAATAAAGAAGAGCAGGGGCTGACCAGCATGAAGATGGGCAGAGGATGTAAGAGACACATTTGGTAGAAAAGTGCACAATGCGGGAAAGCTGGTGGGAGACCGAGTTTGTTACAAGCAGGCTGTAGTGAGAGTGACGTTCTGCAAAGGATCTGCTAGATGTCTATGATTATTTTACTGTAATATAATTTTATTAGATTAGATGTGTTTTGTCTTCTTAAAACTTTGGGCTGGCTTATGAAGATCAGATAGCACTTATGGGAATGTTTAGAGTGTTGTGATATTGGCTGTCAACTCAGCTCAACTTAGGTACCTAACAAATACATGAGTCTAAATGAATGAAACATAAGGCCATGAGATAGAAGGAATTGAAGTAGCAGTCAAAGCATTGTGGATCAGTGTGGCACTGGGGTGGCATATAAGGAAGTGAGAAAAGTACATAATGTAGAAGAACCCAACAAACACATGATCACTTACTTTGTACTGAATGAGTCAATAAATAGTTCTATGTTTTTATGTTGATGCATCCTATCTGATTATTTACTTGTAAGAATATGTTATTGATTTTGCTGTACCTTTTACATTTGTGAACATTATTAGCATATTATTGAGACTCATGCAGAGGCTGTAATGTAGTACTGTGGTTTTATTAATGAGTAATGAAAACACCTGTGACAGATTAAAAGTATAATAAGATGCAGTGAAAGAAATAAACTCACAAAGAAAAATGCTACAAGAATCATAAGTGGGGGGGGGGGGGGGGGGGGGGATATTCTTTGGGCATGTTATTAAAATTGGAGCACTGGAATCTGTTGTGACAACAAGAAAATTGATGGGAAAGAGAGGAAATAGAAGTCCAGGTTGAAGATGTTAGACAGCTTAAAATCATGACAATGAGGTATGTTTGTATCAAAAAGGATTTGCAGTATAAGAGACATTTAGACTGTAAACAGTCATGATGAGCAATGGCAAATGACAAGGGAAAGAAGAAGAATAAAATATGGCTCAAATTGCATTTAGTGACTATTAATATTTACATGTTATGTCTCAGTGAGGGTTCCATGAGGAAACCATTTTCTCGTGGGAAAAATACAATAGCGTGTGATAAAAGCAGCTAATAAAGGGTTTGAACTCAGATGGAAAAGAAAGGTGCAGAAAGCACAGCTTAACTGTCAACCACAAATCATTCTGTTAATTTCACATTTAAGGGTGAACACAAAAGAATAAGACAAGTAGATATGACTATATATTCAGAGCACTTGGGTAATGTCCATAGGTGCTCAAAAGGTTAAAGTCAAGAGGATCGACTTTATTGCACCAGGCTTTATCCCATATGGCTCGGTGCAGGTGACGGCACCTCGGGTAATGTCCATAGGTGCTCGGATTTCCTATAACATAAATAAATTCCCATTTAATATTGCACTTAATAGGCTTCTTTAACATATACTGCCAATAGCTGTTAATACAGATGTCTTCCTCATGCTATGGTGCCAGATTGTCCCAACAAATTTGTTTACAGGTTTGTCGCTGCCTCTTTTCCCTCAATATTTCTTGCTTTTATTTCTGATTTTTAAATATTTTCCGTCATCTTTCCTGTGCATTCAACAGGACTGTTAAGATGCGGGTTGATATTCACACAAACATGAAGATGCTTGGAAAGCGGACACCTTACTATGCAGAATACCAGGTGTGTTACATTTTATAACATCAAATTTTGGGAGCTATCTTGAAGTTGTTTCCACCTTGACACGTTGGGGCAGCTTGTGCTTCTCAGTTATCCTGAGAGCCATGCCAGTGGTAGTGTAGCTACCAACATGGCCTCCAAAACTGGACGAGTCAGAGGGTGGAAAACAGACAAAGAGAGACATCATTGTCCTCCAGGTTGGTGGTTTAAGTGGGTGTTGACACTCCCACCTATGGATCACCTCGTTTTCATCACAAGTTATACATCTATCTTGAATTTGCAAGAATAGAGAGGCAGGGGATATCCGCTGCAGGGAGCTCCAAGAGCTGAAACTTCTGAAGAAGAAGAAGAAGAAAAAGTAGTCTCTGTGGTCGCTTAAGCCCTTGCCATGTGCTATGATGGTTATGGGTTTGGTTTTGGACACTGTCCTTTCACTTCCTTTGCACTGGGGTTTGGGTCTGGAGCTATGGAATTTGTGTTTTGGGTGATCTTTTTCTTCTTCGCATTAACTGGCTGTAAACTCCAGGGGAAAGTTCTAGTTTTTCATCCACCTCTGGACTAGACTTGTTCCAGAACCTGAGTGTTGCATGCACATCCGTTTTACTGATCTGACTTATTATTTGTATGCAGAATGTTGGTTCCTTGCATCGCAGGCATATGCACTCTGACTTCGACGGAATGTTTTGTGCAATGATGTTACAGGCAACAAGCCTTGCAGTAGGGGGAGACTGAGCCATACAGGATGAAACCTGGCCATCTTCTTGCCTTTAAATAACCTAACTTTAATTATTTTGAATGAACTGACACATGTTGTTGGAGATTGTAAGATGTGGAGAAGAAAGATTGTCCACATTAGCCAACAAGGTGTTCGATGATGATGATGATTCATTGAAGAGCACGGCTGAGTGGTTACACCATCAATCTTCCATGTGGGAGACCCGAGTTCAACCCTTGCTAAGGTGATGAATGTTTTCAATGCGGCCCTAAATCATAAGGCTCACAACCCTGACTTGTCTAACACAGCACTAATATGCAGCAAATGCAGATAGTAGTGAAGTTTGATGGCAGAAATGCTACTGAATGTGCTGCTGGGGAAGGCTTTGTCGCTGGGCTGAAACATAAAACTATAGGAACTTGAGACATGAGGAGTCTGTACGAAGGGCAAAACTAAGCTTTTTTGTTGTTGTCCACATTAAACATCTGGCTGGATCTGCACCGCTGGGTGGTGAACTGATAAATGACAAGGCAGATGTGGTCAGAACCCTTTGGGAAATAGCAACGGAATCAGTAGAGAAACTAGATTATTATGGGCTGGAGAGAATGATGCTCCTGGGTGTGACCAGAGGCTTCGGCCGGCACACTATGCTTAGAGGAAAGGCAAGACGGACATACAACCAGACCACAGCTGGCACCATTAGTATTGAAACTGTGCTGGCTGCTGAGGATGGGGACACAGCGTAGATGGGAATTCTCCGAGTGCTTTGATGTCAGTTCTTGACCCAACTGTTAAACATCATGGCGGTTTGAAGAGAACGGCGATGAAAGGTAAGTTTATGAAACATGAGGCAGACGCAGACCTCCCAGATCGTGGATCATCATCAAGTGTCTTGCTGACGGGCGTGGGCGATCATGCCTCTCCACAATCTGCGATCCACAGCTGTGTGTATCAGTTTGTGTGTTGACACCTCTCCATACCATGTGAATCCTCTCTCACTGTCTTCCTCTGTCTCTCTTTGCAAAATCTTTTAAGTGGTCGCAACATGTTACATTTTTCCTCTGCTCATAACATGACCAAAAAATGATGACTGTCTCTTTCTGATGTCTGTGATAAGCTGTCTTTGAGCACCTGCCTCTTTCAAAACATCTGGGTTACTCTTCTTAGCTGTCCAAGGCATTCTAAGGATTCTTCTGTCAAACAACATCTCTGAGTCCTCAAGATATTGTTTGGCTTGTTGATTAAGTGTCTAGAATTCACAGTTGTGTGTTAAAATTGCCTCTATATAGTTTGTGATAATTCTTTTCCTAACCTCCAATGACATGGATTTATTGCATAGAATGTTCTTCATTTTATAAAAAGCAGTTTTGCGGATACAGGACATTAAAGATATATTGGCTAAAAAACACATAGGGCTGCAGAACTGGCTAGAGAAATATAGACTTTCAGGCAAACCATGACGAGAGCAATATTCTGTTAAAATCCTGCTTATTGATTGATTGATTGATTAAGTGGCAGTTTGATAGATGATTTCTTGCAGTTAAGCAAATAACATGCAGTATATGGTCAGTATATTTAAGTTTCCATAAAATGGAAAATGGAGACATTGGAGAACGTCGTGACTACTGGAAAGATCAGTGGAAAAAGGGGTAGAGGCAGATCAAGAGAGATGATGTTGGATGGGCTGAAATGATGGCATGGAGGGATATCATCAAGAGAGCTGTTCCAGTCAACCAGGGATCGTGATCTGTGGAGACACATGAGTGCCTACCCCAGTTGGCAGGGCGCATGATGATGATGATGTTTCAGGACATCATTATTTCTTTTCTCCTTGGTCCAAGGTTTTTGAGAATCTTTCTAGGTCCATGCTTTCTGCTATAATTTTGTTCCAATCCGATGTATATGTGGAAAATGTTTTAGGTTGGCAGCGACGTGACTGGCAAGCTGACAGGAGTCATCATCACGTTATACGGGGATGAAGGCTGGGGGCTGACTGATGTGGAGAGCTCCATGTTTGTGCAGGACTGGTTCGACAATGGTATGATGTTGTTCATCTGCATGTGATCATGCTAAGTGTTTGTCCTGTTCAAGAATTGACATCACAGTACTTAGGACATTCCCATGCATGCTCCGTCCTTATCTTCAGTAGCCAGCACAGAGTTCCAGTACTGATGAGTCAAAAAATTATGGTATACTCTTTAAACTGTGTAGGTTATCTTTGATGTGAAAACTATATGTTGAGCTCAGAACCAACATCAAAGCAGAGTTAAGAACCAACATCAAAGCACTTGGGATATTCCTATAAGCACTCCATCCCCATCTTCAGCAGCAAATACAGCATTTTAATTCCAATGCTGCTTGTAGCAGTTGGTATCGTCTCCGTCTTACTTTTATTCCGAGTGTTGACCAGATCCCTGGTCAATCCTCACTTCACCAGACAATAATTGTCTGTTCACTTTTATTTTTCACTTGCACCTGAAGAGCATTTACCACATACAGCTTGTCATGCATTTATTCACCACCAGTTGGTATCAAAGTTATTATTAACTTATTCAGCAGTTTCAGGTGGCTTTATTGGAGCAAATGAGATTTCCAAAGGAGGAAAAATAAGCATTGTTAAAATCACTATTCATTCAGATCAGTTTGGTTTCAAAGCAGACCCCCCCCCCCCCCCCACCCCCTCAGTGAGGAAGAGTACCCATTATGAAAAATCACTCATCTTTTACTTTTAAGGAAGCTAAATATTTATCATTATCAGGTGCCTCGCTGACTGGCATTGGAGGTCATACTTTTTCACATCTTACAACCACATCTTACATTCTCCAACAGTATGTATTGGTTTGTGTGCTGTCACCCTTCCTTGGTATGTTATGTTATCACAGTTGATGTCACTGCACATTGGGCATTCCAATACGGCCTCAGTCATCTGATGCAGCAGGCACCCCCACATTACCTCTTCTGGTTGACCCATGACAAGTTGGTTACAGTATCTCTTAGCTTGACCGTGAAGACGTCACATAATCCTGTTAGTGTCTCCATGCCATGAGAGAGTACAACCAGGCTGGGAGTCAAGAAACCTTGGAGCCAACCTTCATTGTGAAGCTGGTATCTGACTGCATGATCATATCACAGTTACTTATCAGATCAGCTACATTTCAGAACTCATCTGGTGCATTAACTGCAAAAGAGATCTGTCTTTGTCATTGCTTTGTTACTTAAATGGAAATAAATACTGAAGAAATGATGCTCCTAAGCCAGACAAGAGACATCAGATCAAAGGGTGTGGATATGTGTCAAGACTACCACCAGCAGTATGTGCTGATGAAGGCTCTAAAGCTGCAACATTCACATTTTGTTTGTGTTTGTTATATCGTAAAGCTCGCTGGTATACTTTTTTTTGGTTTTATACCTTTCCCTACCACCATCAGTGCACCACAGAGAGCCATGTCATTTAGACATAATGGAAGTAGATCCGGAGGTCGACCTTGCAAGCTATGAATAGATGGAATAGCCAAGGCCATAAATGTGAGCACTAATTGAGCACATACCAGGGCTCTCCCTGATGACTCTTCAAAATGTGACACTGAAAGAGAAGGAAGGACTAGAGGAGAAGAAGAAGGAGAAGCCAAATATTGACAGTAAAGAAGCCAGTGGTGCTGGACTAGACTCTGGACTTCATTCATGCTATTTGTAAGATATCACATGGTTGACTAGTCGGCTCTGTGGCTAAGTTGATGCGATCTCTTTGTAATGCCGGGGTGCCCGGTTCGATCCCAGCTGTGGGCTATGCGCCTTGCGTTGGTTTCGACAGTGGTACCAGGGAGCCAACCGTCCAGTAAGCAATGGCAAACTACTGGACGTAAATTTCCCTAGAGAAACCACACAACAGCCAGGGGCTGCTAGGGTTGGTTCTGCTGTAAAGGATACACAACTAACATGGTCGACTTGAATGGAGAAAAAGACTGCAAGCCCTATATAAAGTGTAAACGGCACAACATGATGATGCTGCTCATCATCATTTTATGTTGTTAGTTAACAATAAATATTATCTGATGAGTAAACAATGAGATTGTTTGTAATCCAGTTTTCATATGACCCCAGCTTACTACTGTCCCAACTGGTTGTTCACACCTATACCTCTGAAAACAAACAAGCCGGTCAATACAGGCTGCCGTGCCCCAGGTCAGTTTGTGTTTATTGCCATTTTTAAAAAATCACAGTTTGCTAGATGGTATTTGCCTGTTGCTCTGTTTTGTCAGTGTATTTTGTCATTGATGTGTTAGAAATTATAGTGACCTTTTAGTTGGTTTAGTCAGAACTTCATTGCTCAGCATGGAGTCAGTTTTTGTTTTGGTATCAAATTTTCTAGCTGTTATTGGCTGGCTAATGATTTAATGTAAATTTTGTAGTTCTTTTTATGACAGTTTGTGAAAAGCCTTTTGAAAATCATTGTGTATTTTCTCAAAGAATTATTGAACATTATATAAACAGTTTGAATAGCACTGTTTGCTAGTTGTTATTAGCCTTTCAGTTTATTCCGTTGAGGCCATCAAAATTTTGGGATATAAAAAAACAATCACCTGGGATACCTTTATTCTGTCTTAAGATATTTTAAAATCTCATATGCAAACCTTTGTTCTTGTGATGTAATGTTAAATCCTTCCTCTGTAGTTCTCTAGAGTTTTCTATTCCCTGCATTTTCTTTGTGTTGTCCTATCATAAGCTTTTCCTGTGTGGGTTGCGGGCCTGAAATAAATAGGCCAATAAAACTGATGTACACACAAAACTCAAGCCCTGGCACAAAGCCAAAGTCCTAATGGATAAACAACCAGGACTTTTCACCAGAGCTTACAGTTGATGAACAAAGAAGAAGAAATCAAAAGCGTATTGCATAAGTTTATTATGTAGTCACATTTTCTTGGGCACAGCATCTGTAACGGACTATAATTAATGACTTTAACTAATTGAAAAGACCAGTTTCCTCTATAATCTTAGTAGGAATAAACTCACAGGGAGCAAGTACAGCAGGGATCTACCAGTCGTCAGTAGAAATTATCCTCGTCAACGAGCGTTTCGGCGCACGATTCCTAGACGCTTTCGGAGGTGGGCCCACCTGAGTTCATGAAGCTTAGGGCTGGTACCCTGCTGCACGAGATTACCGGATGGTGTTTTTCTTTCGGATAGGAACAAGACGACTTGGTGGTTGCAGAAGGTACTGTGAGATAAGAAGTCGTCGCGGCAGCCTAATTAAAGCAGTCAGCATACCTGGACGACCAAGCGAAAAGCTTACGATTGGTTTACCGGACACATGTTGGACTTTTATTAACAGGTGGCAGAGGATCGCTGGCAGACAATTCGGACACGATGGACTTTCAAGGGGTGAGAAACCCTTTTCCACTAGACACCCGGACCAGCTCACTGAGGCCCGTCCCCTACGTTGTTGCGTTGCGTCCAAAGCCAACTCGAGGCCCTTTCGGCTGCCTCGCCCAGTTTTTTAAGTGTTCGTTTCCGTTCATTACCGCGCAATCCTAGTTCTTTCACCACATTGTACAGTGAAGTGGAAACGAGGCCTCTCACTCCCACTTCGACGGCAAAGACCCGTACTGTGTACACCTCGTTTCTCCTCAGACCGGCTGCTAAATCACTGTATTTCTCGAGCTTATACAGGTGATTTTCATCCATACGCTACTCATACGGAACGGTGAGCTTAATCAGGATGAGCTGCCATTTCTCCGCAGAGTGGAGAGTAGTAAAGTACAGTAAAGGTCCCTTTTCCACACCTTTTAGGAATATAGGAGTGGGAATATAGGGCTAGACCTCTATTTTATAAACCAATCAGCACTTGGTGGGTGATGTGGCCAGCATCACGCTGGCCACCTTTACTTCCTAGGACTGCATCTGGTACCAACTCAAGGCTGGGTGGACCTGAGAGTATAGGTCGTTTTTAAAAAAAAACTCCTGTTTCGTCAGGACATGAACCCACGACCTTCCTATCCACAGGCAGGTGTTTAGCTGCCAACACCATGGCGACTTCCCTGTCATGTAAGTTGGATAAATAAATGTAATGTCCATCTGCTGTATTATCTAATGCTAAATATAAACTCAACCTCTTCAGGATCAGCACCTTTCATCTTTGTCATGGAATCCATCATGGAGCATTTGGCCAAGTCTCTACAGCTGGATCCACTAGCTGTGAAACAGCTGAACCTTTACACTTCAGGACAAGTGAGCACATGATTAGAACTCTCTCCCTCTCTCTCTCTCTCTCTCTCTCTCTCTCTTTGTGTGTGTGTGTGTGTGTGTGTGTGTGCACGCGCACGGGCAGGCGTGAGAGAAGGAGGGGGAGGGAGGGAAGGAGAGAGAGAGTGAGAGAGATAAAAAAAAGTCTCAGTCCTGATGGCAGACCAACAGAACCTGAAGCTTGAACATTGTGAAACTGAAAAAAAGTTCTAATCCTGATGGCAGACCAACAGGACAAACCCATATACTTTATTTAGCATCTAGAAAAGTTAAAATAAATATTTAAAAAAATATAATTAAAAAAAAAAAAAAATTTGTTGCATTTCTTTACAAGACCTTGCAGAACCAACCTCTGCAACTTTTGTTTGGCTGTTATTGTTTTCACATTTAGTTTGCTATTTCTTTCTTATTGATCAGCTGTTGATACCACTGTCAATACCAGCACAAGGCACTATGCTACCAAATCACCTTTAGCTGGGATCGAACCCGGCACCCCAGCATTAAAACATGTCTTCCCAACACTAAAGCCACTGATGCAGACAGATTATAGTTAGGGCAGCTGTAATGATCACACAAGCCTGGGTTAACCTGCAGTCCAGTGGTCCACTTGAGGGCCCAGCTTTCTAACCGTTGAGCCAGTTAAAACGTTACAAAGATACAGTGATACTTCAGTATATGTCTGCTTTCTAATAAATCCAACTTCGTATATGTCCTATTTAGATGCATACAGTTTTGCTTTGTAAAGTTCTTGTGTTTGGAATACGACTCACTCAGGTCTAATTAGGGAAAACCGACAGAAAAAGAAAGAAAGTATAAACACACCATAATTTCATATTCCTGAAGTTTTACTGGAAGGAGAGTCTTCTTAAAAATAATAACATCTCCTCCTCTTTCCTTCTCATCGCCATCCTGGTATGCCTCAACTCTTCTCAGCAAGGTGAACAGAGGTTACATTTTCATTTGTTTCATTTAATTGTTTTTACATTTATGTATTTTAGTTTTAAGCAATGTTCAGATTATTTTATACAACCCCATCAATGTGTAAAATGCCAGTAACAACAGGATGTTTTTTCCTTGGGATCAGAGTGATCCTTTTTCCTTTTTTTTTTCTTATGAGAACATGTGTTTGGTATAAGTCCGGTCTGGTATAAGTCCTGGCTGGTATAAGTCCTGTCTGGTATAAGTCCTGTCTGGTATAAGTCCTGTCTGGTATAAGTCCGGTCTGGTATAAGTCCTGGCTGGTATAAGTTCTGTCTGGTATAAGTCCTGTCTGGTATAAGTCCTGTCTGGTATAAGTCCTGTCTAGTATAAGTCCTGTCTGGTATAAGTCCTGTCTAGTATAAGTCCTGTCTGGAATAAGTCCGGTCTGTATAAGTCCTGTCTGGTATAAGTCCTGTCTGGTATAAGTCCTGTCTGGTATAAGTCCTGTCTGGTATAAGTAAGTCCTGTCTGGTATAAGTCCAAGGATCTGGAGCAGGTTGAGGATGTATACCCGGGTACCACTGTAGTTCCAAAGCAGGTTCTGCTCTTGGGATGTATTATGTTAGATTTATATCTATCCTAGACCATAAGATAAGGTGGCCAGCTCCATTCTTCATTGATGTTCTTTTTTCGGACAAGAAAATATGTTACATATCCTTTACAGGACATAGCAAACCAACCCAAGCATTTGTTGGCTGTTTAGTTTTTGAGGGAATTTTACATTCAGTAAGTTTACCATTGCCTTCTGTACAGGCAATGGCCATACCATTGTTGAAATCAGAACAAAGTGCAAAGAAGAAGAGCTTAATAGCAAGGATGTAAAACAGATAACATTAAGTAAATAACTAGGGCAATGTAAATCATTCTAATGTGTTCTTGGACTGAATAATGTTCAACATCAATCTACAGAAAGACCCAGCAGGGATGGTTTTGAACTATGTCACCATTGGTGAAATTGTGACTCAGTTGAAAGCTGACATCAACTACAATCAGCGAATCCAAGCTGTCAATGATTTCAACAAGGTATGTATACATACATATACATATATATATAAATATATAAATATATCTAAATCAACTGAGTGAATGAATGAACGGATGAATGAATGAATGAATGAATGAATGAATGAATGAATGAATGAATGAATGAATGAATGAATAGGCCAAGAATGGATATCTCTTGACCTGAGTCAGTCCCACCTGCACTCTGTCCACCGTCTTCAGTAGACGGTCAAGAGTTTCCTATTTGGTTGGTGAAATGGTCAGTACAAGTATGACTGCCTTTACTTTCTTTGAGACAGATGCAAACCATAACCTGTAGTTGCATATCCTTTACAGGACGTTGGAGAACCAACCACAACAGCCCCTGGGGCTGTTGTGTGGTTTTGCTAGGCAAATTTACGTCCAGTAGTTTGCCATTGCTTTCTGGACGGTTGGCTTTCTTGATACCACTGTCAAAATCAACACAAGGCGCATGGCCCGCAGCTGGGATTGAATGCGGCATCCCGGCATTATGTAGCGTTCGCATCAACTTAGCCACAGAGTCGACATAACCTGATTACAGAGAACCTGATTACAGAAATTAAATGTAGTCAAAATGTTTTGGACACGTTATGATAAGGAATAAACTTGAAAACTTGGTAAAAGCTGGCAAATTTGATGGGGAAAAAAGCAAGGGGAAAAATAAATAGATATCTGGATGGCTTGGATGGGACATGAACACTGACCTAATCTATGATGTGGTGATCACGTGTGATGGGGAGCCATGATTGACCATGGTTATCACATAGCTGTGATGGTTGATTAGTAGAATTATCACACACAAGAATGTTATTGCTGTTTAAACAATTCTTTATTTTTTTCCCACCATATTTTAAAATAAAATTTAATGTTGCATCTTTCCATCTTACCAGATGCTAGTGTTATTTTTTACAAGCAAATTACAGTTGTGAGAGGTAGGAATGAACAATATAACCCAACAGAAGTTATAAGTGGTTGGCCATGTAACAAGACTGACATCAGACAGGGCACCACAGAGAGCAGTGTTTTACAGATGAGGCGGTAACAGAGCCAGAGGTCAACCACGCAGAACATAGACTGCAAAAATATTAGAGACAATGAAAAGTACTTTATATGAAGGGCACCCTCCAGAGAGATCTCTCTTTCTGCCTGATGCCACGAGGCATTCTAGAAGAAGAGAAAAGAAGAAGTGTTATTTTTTGCTGGAGGGGAGGGTGAAGAGATGAGATTCACAGCCTATGGTGACGGTGATGAGCGGGGCTAGCAAGACCTGCCTGCATTAAGAAATTGCCTTCTGCAGTTATATCATGGGATTTCAGATTGGTAGTGCCCTCACATGTATTTAGTGTGCTTTTTATCAGCTCTCAATTAACCATCTAACAAGGAGGGACCAGGCCACCATCTTCAGACTCAGAACACAACATACTCCACTCAGTGGACATCTAAACAGACTACAGCCACAACACTCCCCAGAGTGCCGGCTATGTAACTACCCCTACGAAACTGTTGACCATCATCTCTTTGAGTGTCCAAAACTAAGCGAGACTAGAAGAATGCTATTCCCTCTGAGACCAGACAAGTGGAACACCTTGTACGGAGGAAAAGAACAGCTTGTGAAAACATGTAAATTCCACTACATGGCATTGGGCCAAAAGGGAAAAGCTCCTGCGCCGCTGGATCGACAACAACAACAACAGCTCAGTTCTCAACGTTTCTACAATAATGTAATTGGGTTGATTGTGTATTCGCAGGCAAATAGGTGGAAGAAGCGAGGCCTTGCTGTGATGCCGATGCGTTTTGCCATTATGTGGTCAGGCTCCCAGTTCAATTCTCATGTCATCATCCATCATGGAGACGGCAGTGTTTCTGTTGCTCACGGTGGCATAGATGTAGGTCAAGGCATTAACACCAAGGTAAGATGGGAATGTTTTTTTCAACTTTGTTTTCTCACCTTTTCAGATCGTGTGGCTAACATAGAGGAAAATAACCTGTATAATAACAATGGCTACATTACTTTTATTAGATACTGAATTAGAGCCGGACCTGCCAGATTTCTTTATTGCGTTTTAGCCAGTTTGTAAAGTAACACCTTACACTATGTAGGTAGGACTCACCAGAAAAAGCCCTCACACATCAGGCTCCATTTGGGACTGAGAGAATTGAAGGAATATGAGTTTTAAATATTCATTTAACTGCATCCCCACATTCCTTTTCAACAAATCTGCATAGTATGGTAGATGAATTAACATGTATTGTTTGGCACTCATTAAAATAAACAGAGGCTAGAAGACAAATTTCTTCTTAGTCCATGCCATGTGGTTGGTAGTCATGTTTATCAACAACCTTCTGTCTCGTTGACTTTCAATCAACTGTGACGCAGATGATCCTTCCTGCCAGGATGTCAGACTGTCCAGCATTTTTTCTCTTGTTCTCCCACTGACTGTGCTCCCCTCTGACCTTCCTACTTCCACAATGTACTCCACCAGCTCTCTCCTTCTCATGACATGACCGCAGGTTGACCTAGCCTAAGGTGGATACCAGATAATGCCATGGGAAGTAAAGGTTGCGGTACAATGTGGATCAAATCAACCACTGAGTGGAACTTTGGTCTAAAAAACTAGTCTATATAAAATCTATACTTGCCACTGGCGTAAAAAAAAAAAAAATCTTTACGTAAACAATACAGATGTGTTATCATCAGCTATTTCTATCTACAGATTATCCAAGTGTGTGCATATGAACTGGGAATTCCCATGAGCAAGATTCGAGTCAAGAAGTCCTCCTCGACCATCAATGCCAATTCCTACACTACAGGAGGATCGATCACAACTGAACTTTGCTGTATAGTAAGTCTGATTTATTAATTTTCACTTAAACTTTGCTGTATAGTAAGTCAAGTTTATTCATGTTCACCATATGAACTTTGCTGGTCTGTTTAATTGATGTTCTCGTGAACGTTTCTGTGTAACAGGTCTGTTTAATTGATGTTCTCTTGAACTTTGAAGTATGTAACAGGTCTGTTTAATTGATGTTCTCTTGAACTTTGCTGTGTAGCAAGTCTGTTTTATTCATGTTTTCTCAAATTCTGATTATAGAAATTCTGTTTTATTAATGTTTTTACTTTGAGGTATGTAAGGTCTGATTTATCTATGTTTTATAGAACTTTGCTGTATAGAAAGTCTGTTTTATTCATGTTTTTTTCCCCAACTTTACTATATAGCAGCCCCTCGTTAAAATGTATGTTCTGTTGAATTTTACAAGAATAAATCAGGTACAAAAGACAAGAAAATGGGGCAGTTTGCAAAACTTTCTATTATACACACACATATTGTATATTTACTGTATCTCATTCAACAGGGTGTCATTGAGTCATGCAGAATCTTGAAGGATCGTATGGCTCCAGTCAAGGCTGCCATGGGTGGAAACCCATCCTGGGAAGACCTTGTTGCCAGATGTTATCAACTTATGGTTAACTTGACAGCTTCTTATGTGTAAGATCAATTTAATATCCCTCTTCTGTTGATAAAATATACAGCTCTTTAGATTGGAGTCAAATAAACATTTGAGTTCCCATTTACATTCTAATCCTGTCTGAATTTGCTCTTGCATTCTAATCATTGAAAATAAAAAAGTACTATATTTGTTGAAAGCTCTTCATGCTGCATGTGTTTCGGGACCCTTTTGGGGGAGGAAAGATAGTCTCACATCCCCTTAACACACAAGCTGTACAAGGTCACAAGGGTTTTCTGGAATTATATATGTTGAGCCAAAAGGCACAGATATTGCAGCCTGTCTATAGATCACAACCCAATATGCCAATTTGTTTTAAGCTCTGAGTTCAGTATGTAATTTATTGTACATATTTTGCTTTTATTTTTTGATTTTTGATTCCCTGTGATCACATTATAAATCATTAACTGTTTAATTTATTTATGTTTGTATTTTATTTTCATATTTTTTTCCGACTTCTCTATTTGTGTGGCTGTTATCCAGTGTCATATGACTTGTGGTCTACATTTACCATTTAATTTAGAAATGAGTTTAAGTTTTTATCTTGTTTCATGTCTGTCACCTGGTGTGATAAAGAGAACAGCATCATGTGATGTTTAGAAGTCATCTAGACAAGCCAGTAAAACATTATTTTACAAAAATGTACCTTCTCAGTTTGGAAACCATCGCTGTATTTTCCCTCGTAAATCTTGCCTTTAAACCAATCATATTCAGACAACGACATTATTGAGGGTTCTGATGTTCAGAAGGTAACCTCATGTTCTACAGGTGATACCTGACCATCATCCAGTTACTGTAGAGAAAGTAAATGTTAGTAACATCCTAAACATTGGTACATGGAATGTCAGAAATCTTGTACAGACTGGAAAGTTGAACAACATCAAGAGGGAAATGGAGAGAATAAATATCAAAATAATAGGAATTAGAGAAATGTGTTGGCCAGATGCAGGGAAAAAGTATTCAGATAAACACAAATCATTTACTCACATGGAAGGGAATAAATGAATGGTGTTGGTATCATTCTAGACCCACAGTGTGCACAAACTGTTAAAGAATTTTGGACTATTTCAGACGGGGTGCTTTTAGTAAAGATTCTTGGGAAGACTCGACCCACCTGATTTTTGCATCTTGTAAACACACTCTCATTAATTTTGAAGATAGTATTGGGTCCTCTGGTCACTGAAGGATTCATTTTTAGTTTATGGGCACAAACCTCCCTTAAATAACTAGTCCAGGCAACCGTTGTTGTATATGACACCCCCAGCTCCAACTGGCTAAATGAAAGGCTTGTTAACTCTTGACACCAGCAGCACACAAAAAGTATCACCCGTCTTGAAGTGAGATGTGAGTGTTCAAGCAGGTGCCTTTCCTAAGTATGATATTCTGTGACAGCTATCATGCTGGCATCTCCAACGGTCCTCACGATTGGTTAGAGACAGCACTATCAGATGATTCTTTGAAAAGAGTCTGGCTGATGCTAAGATGCCATGCTTCTGCAGAAAAGCAACACTTTTCTTCTTGTCGCTGGTCAACTCAAGGAAATTCATGTCTGCTCACAACAGCGAGTGAAAACGCAATGGCAGTGGCTGCTGCTCGTACAAGAATTAACACGCAACATAGAAGGCTTTGCAAAAAAAACAAACACAGTACACCCTGACTTAGACGAACCTAAGCAAGCATGAATGAAAGCTCAACCAGTTTGTTGCTGGGCTGGACTTCGCAAATAGAACCATACAAACTATTGATAAACAATGAAATATGCTGGGCAAGTCAATTTAGTAGACATTATAAGAGCATGTTGCATACACTGCTATCTTTGGGAATGTTACCTGGTGAGCCCCAATCTTTTCTCATAGTGCCAGTTGAAAGCCACAAGAACAGTCTGTTTTCTAAAACATCTGCTTCTTCTTCTTCTACCGCTTCAGGGATAAAGGAAGATATAAGATTCTTCATGTTCTTCTGGTTGCCTTACCCATAGTCACATCATGCTTTTACATAGTTTTAATTGATGGTATCTGTCCATGTTTTTTCTTGGTGTCTACCTTAGGCTGTGTGTCCTTCTCTCCTTTTAGTGTATGCTTTTAATGGTATGGCATCACGATGCATTCGCTGTAAGTAAGCAAACTATTTGACTTGCTGTCTTTGTATGTAATTTACAGTTGGTTCTATGCCAACTTGTTTTCTTTTGACCTCATTTCTCATTTTAGCTCTTCTGGTCAGTCCTGCAGCCCTTTTCAGACATCTTATTTTCATGGTTACTTACATGGTTACAGAATCTTTCTGTTACTGTAATCAAACTGATACATTGAGGATCAATGGAATCGGTAGAGAAAGAAGATTATTATGGCCTGGAGAGAATGAGGCATCTGAGAGTAACCAGAGGGTCTGGCTGGCTCACTACACTCAGAGGAAAGGCAAGACGGACATATAACCAGATTGTGACCAGTACCATCAGTATTGGAACTCAGCGCTGGCTGCTGAAGATGAGGATGGAGCATGCATGGAAATGCCCCAGTGCATTGATGTCAATTCTTGTCTCAACTCAACTCAACTCATTGAGGATCATAAAAGGTATTCACTAATCTCTAAGGTCACAGCTCTGAACACATTGATGCTTGAGAATGAAAGGGTTACAGTGCTTGAGAAGAATCTGAGGCACTTAAATCATTGCTTGTTGAATGCTCACATCGCCAGGACACATCAGAATGATCCTTTTGCAGCTCACTACAGCTCCTACAGTGCTACCTGTGCAGAGGCTGAGCTGGATGTGTTGACTGGACAGTACCAGCTGCGACAGCTGGACATGCTGTATGACTGTGGAGACAGGTGAGGTTTTCCTGTGGATATTCTGTATGACTGTGGAGACTGGTGTGGGTTTGTCTTTGGATATTCTGTATGACTGTGAAGACAGGTAGGGGTTCACCTTTTTGGATAGACAGCAAGACTATAGAGCTAAATAAGGTTTGCCTTATGGACATATTTGGCTATGGAGACAGGTAGGTTTGTCTTTTGGTCATTAGACAGATGAGGTTTGTCATGGAGGTATGTTGTTTGACTAGAGACAGGTGAGATTTGTCTTAGGGGTATTATGTTTTGACTAGAAACAGGTGAGGTTTTTTTTGTGGACATGCTTTACTATAGACAGATGTAAAAAAGTAAAAAGTAAAGGACCCTTTCCACGCCTTTAGGCGTATAGGGCATATAGGGCTAGACCTATATTTTTATAGACCAACGGCACAAGATGGGTGATGTGGTCAGCATCACGCCGGCCGCCTCTACTTCCCGGGATTGTACCCGGTACCCACTCAAGGCTGGGTCGACCTGGGAGCCAAGGTCATTTTTGAAGAAAAGTCCGTCTCCGCCAGGGAGCGAACCCACAACCTTCCGATCCGCGGCGCGCGTCAAGCCGCTCTGCCACGGCGACTCCAATAGACAGATGAGGGTTTGTTATTTTGGACATATTGTATGACTAGTGATAGGTAAGGTTCATCATTTGGACATGGTGTACAAACGCAGAGACAGGTGAGTTATGTCTTGTGGACATGGTGCATGACTATAGAGACACATGAACTATATTTTTTAGAAGACATTTAGGTACTTTGTCTTTCATATAATGATGATGAAGAAGTTTATTAAGTGCCTTGCTAAATAGCCTGGGCAAGTGTGTTTCCACAGCTCCATTTCCCTAGCAGAAGAACAGATCTTCTCTCACTGAATTTTCTCTCCCAATAATCCCAGTGTTAGAATATGTTTCTCTTCCCATATTGTGGCATAGACTAAAAGAAGGTAAATAGTAATAGACCCTTTTCCAGGCCTTTAAGCATATAGGGCATTTTGGGCTAGACCTATATTTTTATAGACCAATTGGCACAAGATGGTCGATGTGGTCAGCATCCCCCAGCCGCCTTTACTTCCCAGGACTACACCTGGTACCGACTCAAGGCTGGGTCTACCTGGGAGCTAATGTCATTATTGAAAAAAGTACAGCCCCGCCAGGGAGAGAACCCATGACATTTTGATCAGGCTAGCGTCTAGCCGCTATGCCAAGGCGACCCCCGTGGCATAGACTGCCTGATATTTATTGTGTTACCTTTGTGTCTTGGTTTGGCCATTTACTAGGAATTCATATAATGATGCCAGCAATGAGAGCGTACAACATGAAAGTAGAAACACCAAGAGCTAGGGGATGACCAAGATGAACATGGATTAAAGGAGTCACTGATATCTTGAGACTCTACAACATCATAGCATAGCAGGCAAACCCAGCGTCCCCTAGTTTGGATGCTGATCATCTGTTAACCTGTGATGCCTAGTGGTACAAGCAAATCTCACCAGTCTGGTGAGATTGATGCATCAGGGAGTGACGAGAGGTTCTGGCAAATGCTCGAGGCTTAGAGGAAAGGCAAGATGGACGTTTAATCAGAACGCTACTGGCACCATTAGTATTGGAACTCTTCACTGGCTGCTGAGGATGGGAATGGAGTGCTTATGGGAATGCTCCGAGTGCTGTGATGTCAGTTCTTGAATCATCATCATTACCATGTACGAGGTCCTTTGCAGAATGTCGCTTTCATCACAGTCTGCCTGAAAGAAACTCGGTCTCTCGCCAACTCTCCCGCCTCATGTACTTTCATAATCAAGGAGTCACTTATATCCTGTGCTCATCTTCGTGTCGGTCGGCCCCTGCCTCTCCTTCTTGGTACCAGCCTTCTGCTGTGATTTTTTTTCTTTCAAATCTGCTATGGCGCTTGATGTGACCAAAATATTTCAGCTTTTAGCATAAAGCACAGTTATATTAGGGGCACCACAAAACATTTATGGAGTAATCTGCAGTCCAGTGTGGGTGTGTTGTCCCCCCTCACTTTTATGTGATACAAATATTTATATTATATACTGACATAAGGAAAGATGGTGATAATTTTATTTGATAACAGTCTTGGGAGGAAAAGTAAAAACTGTAACATAAATTCAATATTCCTACAGCATGAATCCAGAACTGGACATTGGTCAAGTGGAAGGTGGCTTTGCGATGGGTCTGGGTTACTTTTTACAAGAGGATCTCAAATATGACCCAAAGACTGGCGAGGTGTTGACTGCAGGCACCTGGGTAGGCATCTTTGATACAATTTGTCACGACATAGTTTGTCATGATACAAAATTAAATCAATTATAATAAATCATCAAATCAATTTAGTGAATTAATGAATCAAGAATTTACATTTTAACACTGAGAGTGAATTCTCATACCTGCTCCATCTCTCTCCTCAGTAGCCAATGAAGAGTTGACATGCTAATATGTACCAGTTGCAACTTGATTAAATGTCTGCCTATGTTTTCCCCTCAGTGCTGAATATCTTCCAGAACCTCTGCTAACCCTTGTTGAATTAGTCTTTCACTGTATGGATACACTGTCTTTTCTGTTGCACTGTCCATTTAATGCCTGAAAGCCTTCATCACATTTGCTTTATCATAAAGTAGCTAACCATCCACAGGATCAGAGCAGCTAATCTGTCAGACTGCTCATTTCCTTGCACACTCGAATATCCTGGACAGAAAATCCCTGATATGCTCCCGATCGGAGTCTTTTCAAGTGAAGCAGGCCACTCTACAAATAGGAAACCAGTTTCAATTTTTGGAAGCATGCCCTGTGAGTGCGTTCCCCTTACAACATGACAGGCTTTGCTGCTCTCAAACTGTCAGAAAACTGCCATTATAATGATGACATAAGTAGGAGATGCATTATTTATGTAAAATATAAGGACAGCATACTTGTTTAAAAAGAAAAAAGAGTACACTGTAGCCATAGTATTATTTAGCTGCAGCTTCAATTTTAATTGTTAAACATTTCACATGTTTAAATTGGAGTACATCAGTCACATTATAAATGCTTCAGAACTTAGCATACGCAAAAAAAACAGAATGCTGGATTTATTGCCTGGCATATTTATAATGAAATATGCAAGGGATTAATTGTGCAATCTATTGCTTTTGTCTTCTTTGTTCAGATTTACAACAGGGAAGCATAGCTTTGACCTCAAAACTTCTTTGATCTATTTTTTTGCCTACCCTGGTGTCTATCCTTTTTCATTTTTTTTTAAAATTTAAATTAAAATTTTTAAAAATAATTATGCCATTGGCACTATGTTCTTTCAAGAAACACAGACCTAGAACTGACAGTTATATGTGCCAGTGTAGGAACACACTTTCAAGAAACACAGACCTAGAACTGACAGTTATATGTGCCGGTGTAGGAACACACTTTCAAGAAACACAGACCTAGAACTGACAGTTATATGTGCCGGTGTAGGAACACACTTTCAAGAAACACAGACCTAGAACTGACAGTTATATGTGCCGGTGTAGGAACACACTTTTAAGAAACACAGACCTAGAACTGACAGTTATATGTGCCGGTGTAGGAACACACTTTCAAGAAACACAGACCTAGAACTGACAGTTATATGTGCCGGTGTAGGAACACACTTTTAAGAAACACAGACCTAGAACTGACAGTTATATGTGCCGGTGTAGGAACACACTTTCAAGAAATACAGACCTAGAACTGACAGTTATATGTGCCGGTGTAGGAACACACTTTCAAGAAACACAGACCTAGAACTGACAGTTATATGTGCCGGTGTAGGAACACACTTTCAAGAAATACAGACCTAGAACTGACAGTTATATGTGCCGGTGTAGGAACACACTTTCAAGAAACACAGACCTAGAACTGACAGTTATATGTGCCGGTGTAGGAACACACTTTCAAGAAACACAGACCTAGAACTGACAGTTATATGTGCCGGTGTAGGAACACACTTTCAAGAAACACAGACCTAGAACTGACAGTTATATGTGCCGGTGTAGGAACACACTTTCAAGAAACACAGACCTAGAACTGACAGTTATATGTGCCGGTGTAGGAACACACTTTCAAGAAACACAGACCTAGAACTGACAGTTATATGTGCCGGTGTAGGAACACACTTTTAAGAAACACAGACCTAGAACTGACAGTTATATGTGCCGGTGTAGGAACACACTTTTGAGAAACACAGACCTAGAACTGACAGTTATATGTGCCAGTGTAGGAACACACTTTCAAGAAACACAGACCTAGAACTGACAGTTATATGTGCCGGTGTAGGAACACACTTTCAAGAAACACAGACCTAGAACTGACAGTTATATGTGCCGGTGTAGGAACACACTTTTAAGAAACACAGACCTAGAACTGACAGTTATATGTGCCGGTGTAGGAACACACTTTTAAGAAACACAGACCTAGAACTGACAGTTATATGTGCCGGTGTAGGAACACACTTTCAAGAGATCTGAAATCAAGCATACAAGCCTGCTTACATTTTGCCTTTCCGTCAACTCATATTTTACACAGCAATTGTATTTTAACTATAAACATGTTATGTTTTTGGCAATAAGCATACGAATATAAAGTGAGTTTAGTTGAGTCAAGAATTGAAGCACTCTTGAGCATTCCCATTCTCGCTCAGTCCCCATCCTCAACAGCCAGTGTAGAATTCCAATACTAATGGTGCCGGTCGCAGTCTAGTTGTGTGTCCATCTTGCCTTTCCTCTGAGCGTAGTGTGCCGGCTGAACCCTCTGGTCACACCCTAGTGCATCATTCACTCCAGCCCATAATAATCTATTTTCTCTTCTGACTTCTGATGAATATAAAGTAAAACATAAATGCATGGATGACAGATGCTTTTTCAGCTGTGCATACAAACATACATCCATCCATTCATTTATTCATCCATCCATACAACAAAGATCTGACTGCCTATGAATTGCCTATGAACCTACTGAGAATGATCTGACGGCTAGTTGCTAACTAACTAAAAACTGAAATTCTCGATATAGTTTTAATGTGTTAAAGATAACAGAACAATCAACCTTTTACATTTTCCACAACAGGATTACAAGCCACCACTCCCAAAGGACTTGCCAATGAATCTTAACTTCAAATTTCTAAAGAAGACACCTAATCCTATTGGAGTTCTTGGATCCAAAGGTTAGTTCATACACATAATCATACTGGAGTTCATCGATCTAAAGCTTAGTTCACCTAATACTGCTAGAGGTTTCAGATCTGAAGGTTAGTTCGTAAACCCAATCCTGCTGGAATTTTGGATCTAAGGGTTTAGTTTAACTAATCATATTTTTCTTGGGTCTAATAATTAGTTTGCTTAATACAATGGGAGTTCTTGCATATAAATATTAGTTCACCTAATCCTGTTGGAGTTCTTGGATATAAATTTTAGTTCACCTAATCCTTTTAGAACTCTTGTGTCTAAAGGTTACTTCATATAATCCCATCTAATGGTCAATTCATCTGAAAATTATTCAATGACATTATTTTTATAAAACAATGACAAGTTTTATTTTAAGTAGATTTAACTGTTGTACTTACAAAAATCTCATTATAACAGAAACATTTGTGTTCCAGGCAGTTATCATTGTAGAGTAATAACCATGCAGAGACAATGAGGGTAAAACTTTTCTGACAAAAAATGAAGTGACAAGGACATGAACATTCAAACTAACAACTAGAGCAGAAAAGTTAATATGTTTTGAAATTTAATCAAAGAGCAAAAGATGAGAGGCCATTGGACCATTCATAAAGACTTGGCAAACTGATGAATGTAAAATTGCTTTTTAAAACCACAACCAAGAAATGCTGGGGTTAGTCTGCAATTTCCTGTCAAGGATTATCAACTAACTTTTTTGGTTTTGTTTTACATAATAAGAGTCTGATTGGTATTGGAACCCTCTGCTGGCTGCTGAAGATGAGGCCAGAGCACACATATGAATACCCCAAGTGCTGTGATGTTGGTTGTTGATTCGAATCAAATCATATCAACATTGTAAGCATACAGATATTGTGAAACAATTCTGAGGATACAGATGGAAAAGACATGCTTTAAGAAGTGTTTGTGTGTCCCCTAAAATGTCAGATAATTATGGTTTACTGACTTTCCCTTGCAGCTGTAGGAGAACCTCCCCTGGTAACCGCAGCTGCCTGTCTGTTTGCCATCAAACATGCCGTGGAGGCTGCTCGGGCTGAAACTGCCCAGGATACTTTCTTTTCACTAAGTAAGTTTTCTTATTTTTCAAATTCTCATCAAATTTAGTTACTTGGTTTGGAGTACTTGGAGATTTGGTGATTACTGAGAACAGTAAATTGATAAACAGATGTGAATTACGGACAGTTAGTGAATTAGATCTTATTTGTAAGCTGCAGAAATGTGGTTTTACAGACGAATGATGAGAATACCCTGGACAGATAAAAAGAGCAGTGAAGATGTCTTGAAAGAAACTGACCCACGAAAAGAACTGATTGCCCACATCAGAAAGAGACAATCTACATCTTTGGTCATGTAACGAAGAGGAGAAAACTGAAGTACATTGTGATGGTAGGAAAGCTGGAGGGAAGGAAAGGCAGAGGGAGACTGAGAGAACAGTTTCTAGACAGTTTGACATCATGGCATGGAAGATCATCTGTGTCATAGTTGACACGAGACAGAAGGTTGTGGATAAACATGACTACCAACGCCACACGGCATGGACTTTAAGAAGAAGAAGAAGAAGAAGAGAACAACAATGTAATATCAGTCAAAAGTATATTTCTAAGATGCCATTGAGTACTAATAGGACATGTAAAATTATTGAAACTATAGTGGATGCAGGAAGTCCACTGCAGTAAAAGTCTAACATGCAAAAGAAGCAAAGTACTCATTTTGTGGTGTAAGTAATCAAAACCCCAGGTCTGCAGGAGGCTTACTGCTGGCTTCTAAAGACACAGTCCATGATGAATGAGATGTATTTAAGTGAGATTAAACAGTTATAAGCAGGAAATGACGATTCCTTGGGTGAGCCCAGTACCAGAGCACCGTGTAGTTGCTCTGCATTTACGGAAGCCTCCCTGGATGCCAGGGAATGCTCATGTTCTGCCTCTGCCTTCTCTTGAGGGCTGACCAGCATTAAGTGGCTTCTCTAAACCAGCCTGATGTGGGCCACCACCTGTGACCCGGGAAAACAAAGATGACCACACAACAGTGAGACTGCATTGTCCCATGAAACTAACCGGGAAGGCTAACCCAGTCAACAGATGCCTGCAGAAGTCGGATGTGTTGCCCAAAAGGTGCAAATGTCGCAGCCATTCTATTAACGGACACAATTTAATTGGAGGGGAATTACTCTACTCTCAGTACCAAGCAAAATGTTTTGTAAAATCATCATAATGCAGCTTGAAAAATGAGTAGATAAATGCCTACAAGTGGAAAAAGCAGGATTCAGAAAGGGCAGAAGAACAACTGAGCACTTCTTCACCATACGTAACATTTTAGAACAATGCAACGAATGGCAGAGAAGTATATATATATTAATTTTGTGGACTTTGAGAAAGCTTTTGACAGCGTCCATAGAGACGGTCTGTGGAAAATTTTACGACATTATGGAATTCCAGAAAAAATAGTCAACATAATTGCTCTCTTCTATGAAGACTTTTCCTGCAGTATAAAAAATCACAATACATCTTTCCCAGTAAAGACGGGTGTAAGACAGAGATGTGTTATGTCATCTCTCCTCTTCAACCTTGTGATTGATTGGATACTAAAGAACACAGTAGACAGGACATTAAGAGGCATACGATGGACTCCATTCACCATGCTTGAGGACCTTGATTTTGCAGATGATATAGCACTCCTATCACATAAACATGAACATATACAAAAGAAAAGTAACAAACTAAACTGCACAGCAGAAATGGTGGGACTGAGAATAAATACAAAGAAAACTAAGATCATGACAAACAGTCCAAACCAACAACCAGTGACCATAAGTAACCAATCACTTGAAAATGTAGAACATTTCACATATCTTGGCAGTGTGGTGTCCCTACTGGGAGGGACAGAGAAAGACATACAGTCACGTCTGAACAAAGCTAGAGCTGCTTTTGGAAGGATGAGGCAAATCTGGAAATCCACAATTACTGCAGAGGAACGAAACTCCGACTCTACAAGAGCATCATTTTGCCAGTTCTTCTTTATGGAGCGGAATGCTGGAGAATGACCAAAAAGGATGCACACAAGCTGTCCACCTTCCACCACACATGTCTACGTAGAATTATCAAAATTTTCTGGCCAGATACAATCTCAAACACTAAACTACTCCAAGCCACAAACCAAGAAACTTTATGAAGTATGATTACCAAGAGAAGATGGAAATGGCTTGGTCACGTTATGAGAATGACTTCTGATATACCTGCCAAAACAGCTCTCACATGGACACCAGAGGGAAAGAAAAAACAGGGGCGCCCAAAAAAAACATGGAGACGAACGATGGAAAGTGACCTGAGTGCGGCATCTTTGACATGGAAAACTGCACTGAAGATTGCACAGGACAGGAAAGCAAGGAAAGTCCTCTCTAAAGCCTCATGTGCCACTCACTAGGCATAACGAGAACTGATGATGATGATGATGATGATACAATTAAATCTTTGGATGAACACAGAAGAAGGACATGTAAAATAGCAACAAGTTTTGTTTTCAACCAGAAGCTTCACAAAACCTAATTAAAGCGAAGCATGTAATTGTTACTGATTGAGGTAACGCTCTGCTGAATTTCATGTAATTTTCCACTGTTACATTTTCTAATAGGTGCTCCAGCCACTGTGGACAAAGTGCAAGCACTCTGTTTGAACAACATATCCAGCTACACATATGGAAAGTAAAAGAGACAACTGGCAGTCATTGTTTTTATGATGACAGACGTGTAGTTTTATTTGTAGAGTAATTAATTATGATGAAAATGTATAAAAATATAAGAGCAGAGTGCGTTAGAGAAAGTAAACAGTATGGGAGCACACTATGTGAACAACATATTAAACTGCACACGTGGAAAGCGAAGCAGAATGCAACAATCACTTTGTTTGCATGTTCAGAGAGGAGTAATTTTATGGTTATGGTAATTATTTATGCTGAGGTAGGTAGATGGGTAGTTGTACCCCACCAGGATATCACACAAGGGATAAACACCCGGTGACACAAAGTGCCACCATGCGGATGTGGATCACCTGTGAAGAGGTCCCAGAAACCCCTTTCAGCCATTAGGCCATGTCTATGGCTAGGCCATAACTATGCCTCGGCTATATTAAAGGTTGTGTTGCATCCCCAGGAGGACGACTTCGCGTTATTAATCACAATAACTTGTGCTGAGAATGTGGTAAATTTACAAGCAGAGTGGACAAAGTTCAAACACTCTGCTCAACATTTCAGACTTTGAAAGCAAAAAGTGAAGACACTTTATTGTTAAACTGAAAGTTGCATGTAGCTTGCTTACTGATAATTGTTATAAAACAAATGAGTAGAAAATGTTACAGAAAGGTGGACAAAGCATAAGCATTTTATTTAAATAATGTTTCAAAACACACATATGGAGAAAGCAGACACAAGAAAATCTTATTGTTTCAATGTTGAAAGATAAAAGCAATTTTGTGTTTGAAGTAATCAATTATACTGAGATTTTATATTAACTACACCATAAGAATGTATTGAATTAGTTGTAGTCGACATTTCAACTTCATTACAATCGAGTCACCCCATGCTTGCTCTCTTCCTGTGCCAGTGATAATCAAATGAAATGCCCCTCACTGTCTCATTTGAAAACCTGGTAAAAAAACAATCCTGGCACAATCCAGAAATTTGCGTACACAGTAAATGTGTAAGGCAGTTTGCTAGAGGCACCAAAGCCAACAGTCTTCACCAGAAATGCAGTTTATCATTGATGGAAGTAGTCGGTCACGATAAGTACAGAATCAATTCCACAAGAAAAAATACAGCTCACCGTGCTGCACCAAGCTTAGGCAGTAAAACCATAGATTTTAGCCATATATGGGAAATCCAGTAGCAATGCGCTGTCAGAAGCAAAAATAACTTTGAAGCTAAACAATCTGCTATGCCTGTCTTCCATATTGGGCAGGAAGTAATATATTACAGTAAAGAGGACAGAAGGCAAATCTGTTTTTTTTTAGCAGTGTTAAACACACTTATAGAAAGTTGAAATGCAGACAGAGCAAAATCAGATATTTGTCATTTGAAAGAGGACTATAGTTTATGTTTACAAAAATTTTGGAGAAAAATTTATGTAACACAGTTTGCAGAAAGTATAGACAATAATAATGTTTCGTTAACTGCATCAAAAAGTTCAATCAGGATTACATTTGTAAACAGGAACACAAGTTTATACAAAAGAACCAATCAGCCACCTTCTGTGCATTGAAGGTCGGCTGTAATAAGTCTCCAGAACTCAATCTCCTGAGCCCTCACGGTTCTTCACCATTGATTTATCAGGCTTCTGGCTTCTTCCAGTGCAGCTCTTCTTCTTCTTTTGTTCGCTTGAAATAGATTATCTAAATCTGCAGTGTTGTCTCTAGTATCAACTTCACTGTCTGTTTTAATTCAATCAGTGACCTGTAAAGTTTGGCCAAAAGTTTTGCCTTGATATGTTGTACCTGGTACAGTCTTGGAGGATGTGATCTTTTGTCTAAGGTGCTAATCAACATGAACACATGGCTAATTCGCCAGTCTTAGATTTTGTGTACATGTGGCTACAAAGTTGATTGTGTTGAGTTCTAAGGCATAGAATAATGACTTGCTCTGGTCTAAATATATTGTTTATCCTGTTGAAATGACTTTTTCTTTCCCACTAGAACATTATAAAATTCAGTGATTACCAGTAGGCAAGACCTGCAGACCTCCTCTTATTTTCAAAGGTCCATACTTTGTATTAATAATATAATAAAAATATATATATATACATATAAGGAGTAAATCTAAATAAGAATCGAAAAAGAAAAACGAGGGTTGAGTATTTAAAAAAAAAAAAAATCACAGACCCCTTTAAAGTTGTTCAGCAGATCTCCTGTAGAAAAAGAACCACTGCTATAATTCCTTCACTGTCAGAGAAACTTACCATGCACTTTAAGTTTCTGCTTGCATTATGCATATTTCATTGTTCCTTGTGACCCAACCATCCAGTTAATTAACCCACTCTGCTCAGACTGTTATTTCAACTCTTTCTCTTTCAAGGTCTGATAATTTTAACACACCAAGATCCACACAATTATAAGTTAAATTTATCCTGTGCTCTTGAGTTACTATGGTAATTACATGGCTGATCTTGAATTTCTGGTGAAGAGATGTACAGCCTAACTTGACTATGTGATTTATGTATTTCAGCGAAAAGATTTCATAATTTTTGATGCTACATTATGTGTTGATTAAAATCTGTAGTAATGCACCCCATGAGATACAGCGAAATATGCTAGACAATACATTTCAGTGTAAAGATTTTATTTTGTATTCTTCCTTATATGTTGATTTAACTCTGTTGTAATGCACCCCATGAGATACAGCGAAATATGCTAGACAATACATTTCAGTGTAAAGATTTTATTTTGTATTCTTCCTTATATGTTGATTTAACTCTGTTGTAATGCACCTGACAAGATGCAGCGAAATTATGCCAGACAATTAATTGTGAAATGTTTTGTTTGTGTTCACATTATTTAATATCTTTCTGTTCATGTCTGATATATTTTAATTGTCTGATGACAATTTCACCTTGCAAAGTTTGCTTAACACCAAGAAATAAACTTTGATTCACAGTAGCATCAGCAGCGTAATTGTATACTTTTAAAACTAAGTTACATATTTAAGTTCTAATGTTATTTCTGTTTTAATATATGCCAGTGAAAGTTGGAGAAGCGTTGAAGAAATGAAAAAATTAAATACATTTGAAAAAAAAAATGCTTAAAGTAATTGATGAACATTATACAGAATCAATTCAAGAAAGATGAGAGAATAAGACAAAAGTCCGGACAACCACTCAACATATATTAGACAAAGAAGATGGCAGTATTTTAGGCACATCCTTAAGAGAAGAAGAGACTCACTAAAGAGGCACTAAAATGAGAGATAAATGGACTAAAAAAATTAAGAGTATCCAAGAGATCCTAAGATGAACTTTGATGAGGAATAATTGTAGTTTTAAGGTTTAAACAACGGATCAACATCAAGGCACAAGGGTAGTAACCCATTAGTGCTCCGTTCTACTTCTAACTCAAGTCTGAGTCTGAAGAATATCAATGCAGTGCACACATTCTGCAGCACCGGCGAGGATCCTGAAATACTTTAGGTAGATTTCAAACTCCACATTTTTCCCAGGCAGCGCCGTTAGGCTACTCTTTTTCTATTTGCAACTACCAAGGGATTTTTTTTGTACGGGTGTCCCAATCTTACTGCCCATAAATCAGGGGAAATTACAAGAAGTCCACGTGAAAAAATCCCAGCCTTCGCCGTGGCTTGAACCCGGGACCTCCAGCACTCGAAGTGGACGCTATGCCTAGAGACCACAAGTTTCCCCCCCCCCCCCCCCCAGCAGGATAAATATGATAGTTCTCCCCCCCCCCCCCACTTCCAGTTTAATATAATTCTTCTCTATTTCAAAACATTCCCCTTCCCCCTGCCCCTTTTTTTTTTCACCAGTAAATTTGAAGAAAAAAAAAGATGGAGAGAACACACAAAACAGTGAATAAGTAATGGGGTCAACAGTTAGGTCTTTTACAAGAACAGCCTTACTGAGAAGATGCAGGCTTCTATGTACTTCAGTTGAAAAAGATTCATTTCTGTTACTATAGTATGCCAAAAGTACTAAATATAACACAAACTGTGACTATAAAACTAAACAGAGTGACTTGAAAAGACAACAAATTCAATCAAACATTTCATCCATAGGATTACCAACCAGATATTTCAACCAAAGTATTACCAACTAAATGTTTTGACCAAAGTAGTACCAACCAAATGTTTAAACAATGTATTACCAACCAAAGTAGTACCAACCAAATGTTTTGACCAATGTATTACCAACCAAATGTTTCAACCAAAGTATTACCAACCAAATGTTTCAACCAAAGTATTACCAACCAAATGTTTTGACCAAAGTATTACCAACCAAATGTTTCAACCAATGTATTACCAACAAAATGTTTTGACCAAAGTGTTACCAACCAAATGTTTCCACTAAAGTATTAACTGACAAGAAAAAAATGCACAACAACAACAGAACTCATAAACAGGCCCGGTCAATAAATTGATTCATATTTCAGTGTTGATGATGGCTGTTTATGAATTGTTTGTTTTGTCATAGCTGTTGTTTGTTAGTTTTGTAGCACCTGATGAAGAAAGACAGTGAAATACACCAGGCATTGTGCAATCTGTTGTTTGTGTCTTATTTGTTCAAATATTTGTTAAGTTTTGCTTTCTTTTGCCATGATATTTTTCCTATATATCAGTAAAACACTATTTCAAAAGCTTCATTTGTCATCTTACATAGTTTACTCTTTGACAGTTTGTTTGCACTATATGGTATTGAAAAGTGTATGTAATATCTGATCATTCTTTATTTCAGTTTTTTATTTAATTCTTTGCTCACCTGCCAGTGTGAATATCCACATTGACTTTGGATTTAAAAGAAAATTAACCCTTGTTGCCAGGTTGACCAAGCCTAAAATTAGTACCAGGTAAGGTCATGGGAAGTAAAGGCGACGCATGATTTTGACCACATCCCTCACTGAGAGCTAACTGGTCTATAAAAATATGTCTAGCCTCATATATACCAGATGTGTCACTAGCATAAATAGAATCCTTCCTTTAGCAAGTAGCACACCTT